AAAGAATTAAAAAAACATTTTCAGAAGGAAATCTTGTGGGGCTGTGCCTTTAAGGAAGGAGGCAGAGCCCCCGAATAGCCCCACTATACCTTTGGGCCAGGTGGGGCATTTTCTAAATCAATAAAAGAAAGTGCTGAAATCCAGCAATTCTCCTAATTAAATGATTTTCACTCCTAATTTTTTCTAAGACTTCAAATGATGCATCCATTTGTTTCAAACAGAATGAGGAAAAAAGAAGTTGGAAGATTTCATCTATCTTTCGAAAAAGAGGAATAAAAGAAATTTGAACATAGTGGAATATATATTCTGAAAATTACATTCATGGTTTAATGGGATGAACTACATTAATAGTTTAATGGGGTGAACTAGTATTTTGAACATGAGAATGGGAAGGAAGAATTCACAAACATAAATGTTTATTCTAGGCACTTGATCTCTCCTCTTACTGTGACCACTAAATGAAATTTGAATCTTCCTAATTTTGGTGGAACCTTCACTTAGGTTAAATATTCTGCCTAAGTCTGACAGAGCTCAGTTATTCCTTTCAAACTTGAAACGGACAAAACAGTTTTCAGTTCCATGTTCTTTGACTTTGGTAGAACTGCTCGGTAATGGGAATCAGTGAATTCTCTGAGAGGATAGCTGATACTAGATTTGATCAGTGCCTACTGACGAGACCACTGGAATTTTCTTGTAGGATTGGGACTTTTATTATAATAAAGATTTTTTTAAAAAAAATGTCCATTCATAATTTGAAAGGCTTTTCCAACAGCTGGAATATAGCCCCAAGAGTCTCAAAATAATTATATAAACCTGACCAGCAGTGTTCCCACTAAGCTGAGTTAGTGTGAGCTAGCTCACAGATTTTTAGCCTCCGGCTCACACATTTTTGTCTTTGCTCAGGAAGGATGGCTCCAGAGGCAACTAATTGATGCAGGAGCCAAATTGCTCACTCACAAGTTTAATGCTAGTCACTCACAAAGTTGAATTTTTGCTCACAAGACTCCACCGTTTAGAGGGAACATTGCTGACCAGTACAGGAAACTGTATTTGGAATCGCCCTGACCTGGATGGCCCAGGCTAGCCCAATCTTGTCAGATCTCAGAAGCTAAGCAGGGTTGGCCCTGGCTAGTGTCTAAATAGGAGATGATCAAGGAAGTCCAGGGTTGCTACGCAGAGGCAGAAATAGCAATCCACTTCTGAACATCTCTTGTCTTGGAAACAAAACCCTATAGGGTCATCATGAGTTGACTGCGAATTGATGGCACTTGTCACCACCATCATTTGGAATAAATTTGTGAAGAGCTGAGAGTCCTAAATATTTGGCTGAAATCAGCAAGAGCAATTTATATATGGTAAGGGGTGCTGTGGAGGTTTTAAAAAATTGCCCCCAGCATCTAGGGACTGTGTGTATAACTTTATCCTGGATCATGTCTCAATGCATTCCTTGGAACCCTGATCCACAAACCCTCACATGCCGCATTTGGCTGAACTATATAGCTGGCAAGCAGTCCTGTACCCAGAAAATTTTATGTGGGGGCAAAGACTGGAGCGGGGACCTCAATTAGATCACAATTTAATTCGTTTTCCAGAATTAGTGACTAATCTATTTAAGAGAGAAAGACTCGGGAGCCAGCCCCACTAGGAGGCTTACTCCCAGGGAACCATGTCCAGCACTGTGGCTCCAGCCTCTTCTAAGAATAGCTTGGGGTGGGGGAGAAAGGCCAACTTGCTTCCCAGCAGCTTTGTACAAACCCTCTGATCCCCAGGCCGCACTGCTCACCTTGGCATTGCTAATGTAGCAGAACTCCAGGGTGCACCAGGCTTGGCCAGCTACCTCCATACAAAAGGCGAACATGTTGTACATGCGAGCAGTCATCTTGGCCCCACTCTGACCCAGCTAGAAGGAAGAACCCCCGACTGCCACCGCTTTCTCCTCTCCTTCTTCCGCAATGTGCAAAGGAGACTCCTGATGAACCCAGCCAGGTGGCGGCCCCCCCTCCTGCTCGGCCGCAGTAGCAGCTCCTTATCCTGGTGGGCAGTTGTCATGCAGCCCCACTGGGTCTTCCTGCTTGCAGCTGTGGCTGAGCAGGAGGGAAGGGAGAGGAGCTCTGAGAAGTTGGCTGTGGAAGCAGGAAGACCCACAGAGGCCGCCCCCTCTCCCCCCCTCCTGCTTGGCCGCAGCTTCAAACATTGTCCATACAAAACTGAGCCCCCCCGCCCACACCAGGGGGTCTGGCATCCTCCTGGAGGAGACTGGGCACATCTGTGGGGGCATAGACCTCCTCATCCCCCTGCCTAGCTACAGACCTGCTGGCAAGAGAAACTCCATACATATACCTGCCAAACAGATGACATGGACTATTAAAACTGACTGTGTTGACCATCTGCTGAAGAGAAACACTTAAGTCTCCATTCATACATTAGCTCAATAATTCCTGTGGAAAAACTATGAATTGACTTCAGCACCTTTATCACACACACAGCCAGTGGGTGAATTGGGTTGTTCCATATGAATCATCAGCCATATGCATGCTGAGTTCCTATGATGTTGTCTCCAAACCCTTTGAGGGGAAAGAATCAGGTCTTTGCTTAATGGAGCGTTGTGGAGGACTTTGGGGGGGGCTCTCCCAACCCACTCCATAGCCCTAAAAAGCAGCAGCTTCTCCTAACAATAATAAAAACCTATAAAGAACCCCCAAAGTAAGTGCTGTTATTATATTAAAAAGAATAAATCATGCTTGCAGACTTCATTCTTAAAAAGACCTTAGGAAACAGAATGGGAAAGGGACTCTAAAGCAACAGAAAATAAATGGGAAGTTAAAAATTGGAGGTTAAAGGCTATGAAAAGCACATATATTTTAAGATGCTGTTAAAACAGCTACAAAGAGGGTAGCATACAGATATCCTGCGTTAGTATAATCCAGAGGAAAGGGGCAGTGGCGAGAAAAGTTAGATCCATCAAGAGTAAACCCTAACACACTGGCTTGGAACAGGGCTTGTTTTTAATATGGTAAGAAGACATGTGAAGTGTCCAACAGAACAAAAGATTTTGGGGAGCTAAGCACCTACCCTTCCCTTTCTGCATGTTGGTGCCAAATGTAAATACAGTATCAAGATAATTCTGACACTGCACTTAATGGAAACTTAATTCCAGAGTCTTCTGTTTAAACACAGATTAGAATTTTTGCCAGACCAATACCAGTGAAAAACTGACATTCTAATTAATCAAATACAGATCACAAAGCAGTGACTAACTCTATCTTCTAGTGTCAAACATGTTTCTTATTAAATAATTTATCATCTGCTTCCCATAACGGTAACTGACAGACATTGTATTTAAATGTGTGTGGGGGTAGACTTTTGGGGCTCATAGTGTCTCAAACCACAAACATGCCTACTGCTACAATTTTGTCAAAATGAAATAACAGTCCATTATATTATATTCATTATATTTCAAGGCCACAATCTACTAAACTGAATAATTATCTTTACATAACCTAGGGAACCTCTGACCTGTTGTCTTTTAATCACCCCATAGTATATGAGGCACTACCAGCCTCACTTAGGGGACATCTGAATGTTCCAAATCCTTTTGGGCATATGGATGTACCCCTTCTGTATGCATAATGAAGACTGCTATAAAATATGGCCTAACAACATCCGGTCATAGGGAAAATGCCAGACAAAGCTAATATCCAACAATCACAACTATTTAAACGGAAAAAACAGAAATTTTACTTTTCTCCCCTTTGAGTTATCCAACTATTGAATAATTTAAAAGCATTTTAAATAAGGAAACTCTCTTCTTTCTGGCAAGTGTTATTTTTCAGCATTAATATTTATTGTCCAATAGAAATTAAGTCCCATAACACAACTAAATTTGAAGTGACTATAGATATCTGTAAGGCGTATACATGGTACTTTTGTCCCAGCCTCTGGTCACCTTTTCCATTCCCCCTCCTACCATTTAGGATACACATGAACCCTGCAGGCACCACCTTGATGAGTAGACACATAGTCCAAATAAAGCTTAAAAAATTACAGATATATTAAAGCCAATAGTGCCTTAGTAGTGATCAACAGATAGAAGATATAGACCTCCCATTTCCAGACACTGAATTCCAGAAATTTATTTATTCATTTTATTTAAAACATTTTTAGGCCTTATTTCATAGTAATATGGAAAAGTAAATGGCTTGGATCCATTTCCATGGATTTTCACTCTGGGAAAACATTTTGGACTGCCACAGGAGGGGAGAGACAAGAAAGTCGCACTCTGCCTGTGGAAATAGTTACATCCTTGGAAAAGCTAGTCAGTATCAAATTCTAAATGTGGTCAGATGAACTGGTTTGTTTGCACCTTTTTATCCCTTCATCCTATCACTTCAGTCTGCTATAGATTCCAAAGTGTCACCATGCAAGTGTTACCCATTACTTCCCAGTATTTCCTTTAGCATAAGAGCAATATTGATAATATTCGCTGTGTGATAAAAACTCACATCACGTAAAATGTTTAAATGATCTAATGGCAGAGTTTTAAAATGCAGAAAAAGTAGTATTTTCTTGATAATGAGAACTTCATTAATATTACAAGAATTCTTGTTTAAATTTTACAATGTCAGTGCAAAGCCATTTTTTCCTTTACTTATTACTTTCATTTGGTGGTACGATTTATTTTCCTGAATATAATAATTAGAGCACCATACTGGCTCCTATAGAAACAGCCTTTGTTCCACAACTCTTGCTTAAAAGATTGAATAATTTATTGGGGATATTTTATTCCACCTTTCTCCAGCCATGGGCTCAAAACGGGAACCTTAAAAGATGAACCTGGTTTCTTTTTCGGGAACATGAACCAGTTGAAATTTCAGTTTAATACACTCAGCAAGATTATGTTATTTCTTTAAAATGAAGTTTGTAGACATTAATAAGTAAATAAAATGGAAAACTGGACAGGATATATTATTGACTTGAATCACAGTATAATGCTGTCCTACCAGGTGTGTTTCCAGGTACAGTTTAAGGCTGTCAGTTTCTGCCTTAGGAGGAGTCCAGTTCTCTGTTGTTTCCATGGCTTCATTTAACCAGTGAATGAATTCATCCAGCTTGCTTACAAATCCCTTCCACAACAAAAGGGAAAAAAAGCAACAAGAAAAAGCATGTGTTAGTAAAAGGTCAGTCAAGTAAATATTTTATTGTAACTATAAATCTACTGTACTTCTCTGTCCCCAGCATTACAGAGTTTGATGGCTTTTGATGATGAAGGTAGGGTTGTCATTGGAATTAGGGAGGCTGAGATAATCTAGGACAGGGCTATGCAGTATTTTTATCATAATCTATACCTCATTTTCTTAAGAGATGAAGTTTGCACGTTCATATTCTTACAAGAAAAAATAAAAATGAATGATGGGGGAAATAGAAAGAACAAACTAATGATGGGGGAAATAGAAAGAACAAAATAATGATGTCTTTTGATTCTCATAATTTCTAAATCCATAGTCAAGATTTTTCATGGTATGGCTAAAGTTTACACATCTCAGGGTAACTATTCCTGAATAAGAACTAAGTTGAAATAGTGGAGGTGGTATCTGCTATGGCTGTACTGAACATTTTATTTTTCTGGTTATAGAATGCATATATTAATAAAAAAGTTATACCTATCAGACATCATAAATGGAGCAAGACTATAAAATAGTTTTTGTAAGTCATGTTAAACCACCTCAGTCCTGCAACTTGAAACAGGCTTGCATGTAAGGCCTGGATTGAATCCCTCATATACAAAGAATGCTGTGCGAGGCAAAATTCCCAGATCCTGTAACCAGTTCTGTACTGTCACATGCAACCTCTGATTTGTGCTGCCATATGTGTCCTGCATGGGAAATGGGGGGATCAGATTTTGGGATACTCCTGAAGCATCCCTCTCAGGTGGCAAAGGATTTGGCAGAGGGAAGAGAGGAATGCCTCACTCACGCTTGGATCCAGTCAATTTTAAAACATCAAAAGTCACTGGGGAGGAAAGACAGAAACTGATGGGCTTGCAAGGGGGGCAGGAAGGAAGATTAAAAAAAACAATAACCCCTGAGAGAGAAAAATAATTAAAATTAAATTAAATTCCGGAGAGATGCTATTTTGAACAAGATCCGAGACAGTGCCCTAGTCCAATGATGTGCATGCACAGTAGCCCGGGCTGCTCAAGAAGAGCCCTGTAAAATCACTGCAACCATCACCATTAGCTGTCTGATAGGTGGAGGGGCGTAAGGGTGAGGAGAACTGAATGCAGCCACTTTCTCTACTTCTGAACAGCTGATCAGTGTGACTCATAGTCCTAGATATCGGACTGACTGCAGTGATGCACCATTCAACTGTGCACATGATTTGAATATGCACACATATACCTCTAACGGATCAGGGAAGGGATACTGAGCTGCATGCAATGTGAAATGCACCTCATAACATGAGTTTATTAAAATATCTTGTACGTGAAAACATACCATTGAAGGGAACCCCCCCCCCCAGATAATTTGGAACTACAATCAACTTACAAATTAGCATATTATCAGAATAATCCTAAACAGGTATACTGAGAAGAAAGTCCCATTTTATTCATTTCAGGTTTACCCCTAGCAAAGTATTCTTAGGATTACAGCAAATATCAATTCTCCTATTTAAAAGCTTCATAAAATCAGCATTCTATATTTTATGCTTTCCTCACTTCACTAAAAGCTGCAAAGCTACATCATGCAAACTACAGCAGTAGGGAATATTGAAATTGCAACTTTGATACATGTACATAAGCAACCATACATATCACTAATATAATACAAACCTATGATAAACTAGAACTGTTCATTAGAAGAATATAAATGTACCCTCCACAATGTCAGTGAAGACTGCAATGTCACTAAGACAAGTATGTGTTTCTCTGGTAAAGAACAGTATAGTATAAAATAAAAGCTAGAAAATGACATATAAGTACTGGGAAATATTACAGTGGCTATTTATGTCACAGAAAAAGCCCCTTTGCTAGTAGAAGGCACGAATCACTATAATCCCACTATTTTTCAGAAGATGTCTATAAAATTTTATAGAGACTGTTCAAATGAAAACAACTGTCAAAATTGAAAATTATTTAGAATACTAAAAGCCTGACACAGAAAATTACTATCAGAGGACGGATAACATTGACCAGTTCCTAAATCTCATTGTCTAAGTAAATAGCACCACCTGGAGGCTTAACCATAGTATGGCTAGTCTTACTGGAAGCTATTTCAGCAAAAGGCATTCAATACAGTCTTCTCTCAGTCTTCCTTCTAACGTCATAAAATTCTAACCAGCATCAGTCTAGTGGGTATTCTGTTTACTCCACATATGTCATCTGAAGAGGACTTTAGTGAGCTATCAGACAATTGTGCTGCTCATATTTGTGGTAGCTAACAAGGATGGCATACATGATTAATTAGTTATTTCTTGAGCGCTTTTTCATGCTGATTTTCTGATCCAACCCCATCTTCCTATAATACCTAGTGCTGGTACTGAGTAACTTCTTATATGCAGAGCTTTCTCACCAGCCTGAGACTTGACAGGACACTTGGCACTCCTCTACAAAATCTTCGAGACAGAAATACTGGAATCACATGGTTACCAGAGTTTAAAGTTCTAGTGCAGTAGAAGGAGGGCTGTGGAAGTCACTACAATAACACCACCAGGGAGTACATGTATGCTAGCCCAAAACAAAATGTGGTTTTACTGTTTTTTCAAAGGAATCTCAACTAACACTTTTGAATAACTGTATTTGCTTCCAATCAACTGGCTAACAATAATAGTAACGTGCAGCAGCAGAATAAGCTTTATGTAGCACTTTCCTGTAAGTCAGGCCCAGATCGCAGATATTATTCACTGGTCTTGCACATCCTTACGTTTGACTAGTGCTGGACAATGTTCTGTGACAACTAAAAGAACTGCCAGGATAAGCTTGAATACCTAATGAACCACAAGCTATTAATATCCCTCTGATTATTATTTATAGCCTTTGTGAAATATTGAAAAATACCTGAAGGCAATAATTATTTGCAGGAGTCTTTTGAAAACTGGGCTGGCCCTATCCTACACATTAGCATTTGCAATCAGAATACAAATGAAAAATAATGACAATATGACTGAACACAGTCAAAATGAAATTAAAATAAAATTATTTCAGCTCATCAACAAGAGAGGGGAATTATGGGAACATGCCTCCAGCTGCATGAGATCTAGGCTGATCCTGCTGCAGGTTCTTAAAGCCTGGGCACAGCCAAAGACTGGAGCATTTGGGTGTGAGTCAAATGGCTTTCAGCCCTTGGTTCACAGCGTGCAGCCCTTGGCCTTGAGTGACAAGTAGGTTTGTCGGTCTGCAGTGCCAGCCCCTCAGAACGAATTGGGGGGCAGGGCCTGGCGCACTGGCATTGTACTGGCGCACTGACATCACTTTCAGTGTAAACTGGAAGTGACACGTGGGATGCACTAGCATTTAGCAAAAACTCTAAACCGTACGTTTTTGCAACATGCTAGAGAATCCCCATGCCACTTCCTGTTTTTACCAGAAGTGATATGGGTATGCCAGCACAGAGTCAATGCACATTCATGTCTCGCTTCCATTTTCCTCCGACCAGTGCCTGAGGTGTCAGCGCAGCACCAGGCAGATATGTGCCCGCACAGGCAGCACATCAGTACCCGTGTCGCTGTGTTCTGCACCAGCTGCCATTTCTGGAGCAGAGTCAAGGGCAGCCCTACGTAGAGAGAATTACAATAATCTAGCCTGGAAGTGACCACTGCATGGATCGTTGCAGCCAGGTCATGAGGGGTGAGATATGGGGCCGTCTGACCCATCTCAGATGGAAAAAGGCTGATCTTGCTGTGGCAGTGACCTGGGCCTCCATAGACAATGAGGCATCCAGGAACACTCCCAGGCTCTTCACCTTCAGTGCTGGCACCAACTGGGCCCCGCCAAAGGCTGGGAGCCCGATGTGCAAACTCGGCCTCCCATGGCCCAGGTGCAGGACCTCCGTCTTCAATGGATTCAACTTCAATCTGCTCTGTTGTAACCAACCAGCCACAGCCTGTAATGCCTTGTCCAGATGTACAGGGGCAGAGTCCAGGTGGCTGTCCATTAGCAGACAGAGCCGGTTGTCATCAGCGTACTGGTGACAGCCCAGCTCATATCTTTGAATAATCTGGGCAAGGGGGCGCAGACATTAAATAGCACTGGGGAGAGAATCACGCTCTGTGGCACCCCACATTCAAGTGGGTGTTGCCAAGACAGCTTCCTCCCAGCACCACCCTCTGTCCCTGACCTTGGAGAAAGGAGGCCAGCCACTGTAAGGCTAGTCCCCATATCCCCAGATCAGTGAGGCAGTGGGCCAACAACTTGTGGTTGACAGTATCGAACGCTGTTGACAGATAGAGGAGGATCAGCAGCATCGATCTGCCTCGATCCAGATATCTCTAGAGATCATCTAACAATGCAACCAACACCATCTCTGTTCCATGGGCAGGACAAAAACCAGACTGGAAAGGATCCAGGATATTAGCATCCTCCAAGAACACCAGGAGCTGCATTGCCACCGCCGTCTCCACTACTTTGTTCCATTTCCAGGAAGGGCTTGCTCTCCATTTCCCAACTGTGCCCTATTTCTGACTTGCCCCCGCATGTAATTACAATATTTATAGCCTGCATGTTCAGTCAAGTAACAAAAGATTATAATGCCAATAAAGGTGTATGCAAGAGAGAGAGAATGAACTCCCATTCATTTCTGTGGTCTAAAGGGGAGGGGGCTCCAGTGGCCCCTCAGTGTGGATGAGGATGAAAAAAGTAGTCCTTGAGAGCTGTCATTAGGTAATTTGAAGAGTCTGATGAGTAAGGGCCAGCAGAGGTATGAACACCATGTTTTTCAAGGTAAATTATAAGTGATGGTAAGTAGTAAAGATAAAAGCAATATGTTCACCGACCACTCTGAGGCATTAATTCCATGCCCTAGGAGATGTTCCTTAGACTGGTATCTCAGAGCTAAGGTGAATTACAAGGACTGGGAAAGGAACCCTCCTTGGGGCTGCCACAGTCCATGACTAAACAACAGGGATGTTC